GGTTCAACTTCCAACCTCAGCCTCCCCGTCAAACTTGGGAAAGGCTCCTCCGCTGAGCACATGACCTTTTGTTGATCTAGTGGAAGCGATTATTTTTAGGCAAGTTAACATCCCGGCCCTCCGTCAGGAGAACATCCTTGAGCCTGAGGAGGGGGGAAAAAAAAACAAAAAAGGAAAAAAGGAAAAAGTGAAACTCTTGCCTCCCAAGTTTTGGCCGTCACCTCTCTCGCCGAGTGTCAAGAGTGGGGCTTGGGAATGACGTAGATGCGCCTGTCTCCCCCTGCCCGAAGCAGGAGCCTTCCCTGCCTGGAATTAAGTTTTTGCTGTCACTGGCGACGGCTTGTGAGCGCCAAGAGCTCAGTCCTTATTTCGTATGATCTGGCGCTCCTGAGAGGTTTTGAAGCATTTTCTCAGGCGCTTGTACACATGTCCATTGATGATCTGGCATCCCTTCCCTCCGGCTGAATTTTCAAAGGTTATTAATAGTCCCTTGCACGGCGGCTTCAGTAAACAATCCCAACTTTCATTTCTAAGCGGTGCATAAAAGAATGCCAGGATGCGCCTTACTTAGGTTTTTCTCATCTTCGTGAAAGCTACCTCCTGTATAAACATTTGGTTGTATCTGACTATGCAATACAAGCTAGGTGCTAGACCAGCTGGTTAAAAATATGCTAAGTCAAGCTGTTCATCGTTCAGACCTACTGAATTGGATAGTAAAGGCATAGAGAAGAAGGCAAAGAGAAAAAACATTTTAAGTGGGCTGAGGAACACGCGTGCAGAGAAAGGACAGGGAAGAACACTTGAGTTAAAAGATGGGAGAAAAATAAAATTGGGAAATGCAGGGAAGAACTACTTTAACGCTTCCAGCCCTCGTTCTGCTGCTAGGGTGCTTCCTTGCTAGAAAGTGGAATTGGCATGGTTGCACTGCTCCAAGGTTGTCTTTAATGCAATTAGTTTTTCATACTCACTTGGAATACTTTGTGTTTTTCTTCGGGTTGTTATCATTACAATACTAGGACAAAATTGGTTCTGTTCACATGCATTGTATTAACTTAGTTAACTACCTGAGGAAATGGTGACTGTTCCTGGTGTCGAATCTGATCTAGCGTCACAATAATGCATTTGTCCCGTTCATACAATTAACGGATTGAAGTATTTCATCTTCTTTGCCAAGATTATACGTATAAATTTATAAGCAAGCAATTTCAATTATTCTTTGAACTTCATGATGCATAGAACACTTGGAAGCTGTCAAGCAGAATGAAGTCCTTTCGTGTTCCTGCTGGGGAACTTTAACATTTGAAGTTTCCACGCATTATAAATACATATTTATATAATTTTTTTTTATATAAACAAATAATTTTGGACAAAACATCTTGCTTAGAAATAGAATGAGCTTCTCTACTCTTCCTCCCCTCCCTCCTGTCCCCCAGCATACGTTTAATTTTCAGAGATTCCGGCTTTAAACATTCTAGTTAAATAATCAATAGGCTGCTCTCCTTTTGCTGTGTAAATAATCACAAGCAGTAGAAATGGGAAGCCATAAAAACAAATCTCAGGACATGTAATATGTATTTTTTTAACTATTTTCCCTCTGCAGCTGAAATTGGTAATACAAACCAACATCTTTGTTAATCATTACCATTTGTTTACATTGTGTGTGTTTGACTATAGTTACACACACATACACAGAGTAGATACTGTCCATGTAATGTGTGTGTGTTTATCAGGAAACAGACACGAGGAGACACTTTCTCTTGCAGAGATGCACAGACCCTCAGACACATGCTCACAGAGTTCATGGGTGTACATATGCACGATGTGCAGATGACTGGCTTTTAGGCAGATTATTTTCTCAGTTCCTTAGTAAACGCAGTTCTTGGAACACATTTCCACAGTTGCTGGGGTCCAGTGTGTTGTATCTGCATGGCCGACTTCAGATTTGTTATTGCTATCCATCTTCCACTATCCTCTTTTAAACTTGAATAGCAAATTACAAAGAGGTAAAGATTTATCAAGCAAAGTTGTTTGCATTTCAGGTCTCAGAGCGTCTGTATGTATGTATCTCAGGAGGTTATTCTTCTCTCTCTGTCATCTTCCCTGTAATGTTTCCGTGTATTTGGGTAAACTGCAAACAGTTCAGAAACTTTCAGTCACCTCAAGTGAAGGGATCTGAATCAAGGGGACTTCTCTTGTGTGTCTGTGGCCATTAGCACGGGGCATTTACGATACACACTCAGAATGAAAATGATCCTCGGTGTCAGACGAATAAACATTCATTAATTCATTCAGCATCACTAGTAAATTGCAGTAGGTTTTGTGAATTAGCATGTATAATTAATTACCACACCAAAAATGTGAAGGTTTTTGTCCTTTCCTGAGAAGTTACTTGCACGTCTTTATTTCTGTTTGTGGCAGCTCAGCTGTGTGATTGAGAGGAGCACCAGAATGCGTGCTCTGAGAGGGATGATGTTTGCAAAAATGTTGTAGGAAGAAATTATAACTGGAATCTGCTCTGATTGTTACACAGGGAAAGGATAACTTCTGAGATGTACTTTGTGGTGTACCTGTAGCACTCTGAATAGGCTTTAAAGGTCTCAAAAAGAATAACTCTTTTGTTATTCAGATTTTCTTTTTTTTAGAAAAATGGGTCGTTATACTTAAATATAACAAGTATGGCCACAATAGAAAGTTTACTTCATTGAATAGAGGTAGAGATAATGCAACCAGAATCATCGTGAACAGCTGTGAAATTTATAGAATGATAAAATCTCAGAAATGCCCAGCATAAAGTTTTAATGTCTTAATAAAATCTGATAAATGAAAAATATATAAAGTGACTGCTTAACAATGTCCCTAGTGTATGGAATGTTCTTAAACCCAAATTAATTACTGCATATTTACATTTCTCTGTAGACTATGAGAGAAGCTGCACTAAGCATCCGGACAGAGTAACATCCTTTTTCTTTCTCTTTTAAATTCTTTTAAAATTTTATTTATTTATTTTTTAATTTTATTTTTACCATGCTAGTTCAAGGTAAAGAGGTATGCAGCATTTGTAGAAGAAGGAGGGGTGGGTTAGTGCTTCCATAAGAAAAAAGGAGGAGTAGAAAAGACAAAAGGCAGGGTTGGAAGCGTGGGGATGGGGACAGCAGAACAGATTTAACATTTACAGTCACCAGTTCTGTGCAACTCGAAATGTTCTCTGTGCTAGTGACTTGCTGGTAGAAAGGAAGGGCTTAGGGATGTAAAGCAAGTCTGTTGGGAGGAAAAAAAATATGCTTAGCTGCTTCACTGCTGCACTGCACGAGTCATTTCAGACTCCCACAGAATTTATTTTGGGGTTGTACCAACACTGTCAAATGGAGAAATCATTTTCCTAAAAGGAAACTTTGCGTATTCCTAAGTGCTTTTCTTAGCTAAAGTTACCCTAAAAGCTTTCTTCTGCTGCTGCATTTGCTGCGAATTTTGGAGAAAGGATAATACCGTTCTATTAACCGGCTTGCTCAGAATGACGTTCTGCTCTCCTAAAATCTACCTGTAGAAGTAAGAGTGATTATTCCTTCATTTAAAAGAAAACGATGAGATTTATTTAATATCAGGCTGATCAGCTTTCACCTTCCACTGAGGTATTT